TTAAATCAGAAAAAAAACCTTTAAGACATTTTTAACCCATCCAATAACATTTAATGTCATATTTATATCTAACTCTGGGTTTCTTTCTAAACCAAGTTAATATTAAGGCGTTTCGACTATGAAACCTCAAGATTTGATTACAAAACTTAGTCACTTCAAACTGAGCAAAATTTTCTCCCCTTTCTGCCAATATAATCTGGATATCAATCTTTGTTGTATTTAACAATTGAAATGAGTCCAAGTAACTTTGTGTAAAATTAGTTTGCCTAATGGTTTCCACATTTAGTCCCAGTATAAATTCACAATTAAGTTGCTCTGACTCTTCCAAAATGTTTCTTAACATGTCCTTACAGTGAACCCTTTGGAATCTATTTTTTTCTTTTCAGCTCGGCAACTGTTACTCTCTCCTCAGCCACATCTGTGAAATTGTAATCTGTATCTGCAACATCTTCCTCGCTGTCTGACTTGCTTCTATCTTCTGAAGATGGTTGATCCCACTCCGGGTGGTGGTGAGAATGGGGAGCTCAGGGCATTGTGGTACCAAAGGATGAATGAATGTCTGGATACATGATAGAAGGTGCACTCTAACTAGTTCAATGTTTGGAAGAGTCCACCATGCAGAATTAGCACTTGCTTGACTGGTCAATCAGTTTCCGCCAAATTCTTGAATAGCCAACTTCATGGCTGACTTTGCTCCCTTGTATCGCCATATAAACATAGCAAAATTATATAAATTAAAATAATGATATTTCACACAATACCTAATATTGTGCAAGAAATTACCATAGGGCATAAATATAAATTGTAGACTGTATTTTTCTAGAACATTAATAATAATAATAATAACAATAATAATAATAATAACAACAACAACAACAACAACAACAACAATAATAATAATAGTAATAGTAATAATAATGTTGGAAGGGACCTTGGAGGTCATCTAGTCCAACCCCCTGCTCAGGCAGAAAACCCTATACCATTTGGGACAAGTGGCTGTCCAGTCTCGTCTTGAAAACTTCCAGTGTTGGAGCATTCACCACTTCTGGAGGCAGGTTGTTTCACTGGTTAATTGTTCTGTCAGGACGTTTCTCCTTAGTTCTAGGTTGCTTCTCTCCTTGATTAGTTTCCATCCATTGCTTCTTGTCCTGCCTTCAGGCGCTTTGGAAAATAGCTTGACTCCCTCTTCTTTGTGGAAGCCCCTGAGATATTGGAACACTGCTATCATGTCCCCCCTCGTCCTTCTCTTCATTAAACTAGACATACCCAATTCCAGCAACCGTTCCTTATATGTTTTAGCCTCCAGTCTCCTAATCATCTTTGTTGCTCTTCTCTGTACTCTTTCTAGAGTCTCAACATCTTTTTTACATCGTGGTGACCAAAACTGGATGCAGTATACCAAGGCATTGTAAAGTGGTATTAATACTTCACGTGGTCTTGATTCTATCCCTCTGTTAATGCAGCCTGGCACTGTGTTGAAAATAGAGAAAATTTTCTGAATTGAAACTCTTTCAAACTGTAATAAATCACTGAAATAATTGCGAGCAGCAATTATTCACCTTACTTTCAAGAGGTTTTGGGTTTTTTTGCAGCGTTTGCATGTGAACTGAGGTGCCCAAGGCTTGTCTTGATCCCCGAGAGGCATGCCAAAGGATGCTTTGTAGGCCTCGCACATCTTAAAAGATGCTTTCATGGAGTCCTTTTTTGCTGTTGCCTTGATAAATTGTCCACACATATAGCAAAATGCATCTGCTGGGTGCAAGCAATCTCTTAATGCCATCTAAATCAAATATTGCTATTCACTATTCTCTTACTCAGAAATTAGATAAACTAAAATTTAAAGCACCTGTACTTTTATCCTTCTATGAATACTACTGGATAGTCCCAGAAAGTTCTAAAAGAGTCCAGAAAGTTCTAGAGAATTCTGGCCAATTCTAGAAATTTCTGGACAGTTCTCACAATTCCAGAATATTCTGGAAGTCTATACAGCATTGAATATGAATCAAGATTGTACTTGAAAACAGATAAATTTCAAAATATAATTTTCTGACCACAAATGCAAAGTTTTTATGGAACAATAGCTATTTTCTATTTATTTAAGGCATAAGGAATTAGGAAAGCACACTTTGTACCCAGGAACAAAAGCTAAATTGAAATTTGTTACATATAGAAAGATGTGAGTCATGTTGTTGTAACACTCATGTAAGAGGCAAATTTAGAATTGTACTTATAACTGCTATAAAGAAGATTGGAAAGACTTTTTTCTACAGGTAGGCTTCGAATTATGACCATAATGGTGCTTGCCAGTCATGGATGTAAGTTGTGACAGTCATAAAATGGGTTGGGCATGTGATTGACATTATTTTATGTCCTATTTTGCAGCAGTTGTTAAGTGAAACACAATGGTTGTTAAGCAAACCTGTGGTTTGTTATGGGCACAGTTTTGCCAAAAACTAGACATAATTGCCAATTTTTGGCAGAACTGTTGTAAAATGTAATCACATTACACAAACAGATGTAAATGCAGGAGAGAGGAAAGAAAGATACAAGTTATATTTTTTACTGTTGGCTTTGAGAATGGGGGTGACAGACAGAAAGTCACTGCCACTAAAATGAGGATTGCCAAAAAGAAAAAAATAAAGGAAGTCAGAATGATTTCCAAGTTTTCATCAAAGTATAACTAGATGAAATATTTGGGAAGGCATTGGTTCTTTTCTGCATTAGAATAGTGATCCCATAGGCATCTCTCACATTGGTCTGCATCTGAAATAGATGAAGACAACTTTGTTATTTCTTAATATATAGGATATTATGGGGTTCTTTGTGCTCTCTGAGTTTGGCTGTTTTCTTGCAGATGGTCCATTACCCAACTAGGTAACATCATCAATGCTAGTAAGGAGTGGGGTTTGCTTTCAGCTATTTATCCTTTTGGGAGTCAAAAGAGAAAAGCCAAAATTTAAAGACTACAGAGTCCTGAACTGGAGAGAGGAGGGATAAAAAAATTCACAGTTATCACACCTAGAACCTCTCAGGGTATATCTATTAGGTTAAAAGGAAATAGCTTTGGTATGGGAAGATTCTGTCCATTAGGTGCAGGCACATAAAGAATTGGACTTGATTGAATTGTGTCCACTTTGGGCTTAAATCTGACATTATCAGACTTTGATGACTCAACAGAATTGTCCAGATTAGAAGACAGTGCCAAATAGAAGAAGTCTTGGCAACATTGGGAATTATCCTCTCTGGAAAGGTGCTTTGGGGATCACAAGAACCTTGTCTTTACCTGTAATTGATTCACTCCTACAATCAGGAAGGAATTCCACTGAGTTCCAGCTAGCTCCTTAACTCCCAGAAGAGAGTGAAAACTGGGAACATCAGTTGATACAAGCATTAATAGTGTTTCAACAGCTGCAATAGTCTGTCAAGCCTTTGTAAAAGATCTACTTATTCATTTTTTTTTAATTGAAAAAGCTTCCATTGAATGCATCATGTGTGAGTTCACTGCTTATCGGGTTGACTCCTAAAATCAACTTAATTGGAGAGCAAATGATCAGGTTAAATGGGAGTCAGGATTGCCTAAAACTGAAGTATGTTCTTGAAGGTTAACATGCTTGGAGGAGGAACTTAGCTACGTTTATAACTCAAAAATGAAATTTGATGTTTTTCATGTTCAGATTAAGATTCACTCACATGAGTATGTCTGTCTATTTTCTCATATTGCCATGTTAAAATTTGTAGGATAGCAAAATATATCTGAAAAATGAAAGGGGCCACACAACCAGATTTCTGTGACAGTATGACTGATGGGAAAGGTAGTGAGAAATCAGAGTAATAGAAGTCCATAGCTATAAACCAACTACTCATGCAAAACAAGGTGTGATTACAGAGTTATGACTGAATATCTTGAATATTCAGATTGTCCCCATGGACACTCTGGGTCATCAGGAAAATGCTGAAAAATAGAACATGGATTCAAATTGAATTCAACCATTAAATTATCTTCTAGTCAAATGTTGCTTTGTGTTAAGATGTGGTTTCAATATTATGATGTAACACTTGGGGAGAAAGATGCAACCCAAAAGACCTGCAGCAGAAGCCAAGATGGAGAAGATCTCCACAGCCACCATGTATTTCCCCTTGGTGCTCAGATAGGCTGGGATGAAGGACACCCAAATGCTGCAAAATACAAGCATGCTGAAGGTAATTAGCTTGGCTTCATTGAAAGTATCTGGTAATTTCCTTGCAAAGAAAGCTGCAATGAAGCTGATAGTGGCCAGCAATCCCAAATAGCTCAGGACAATATAGAACATGTTATCTGAACCTTCGTTACACTGCACAATAATTTCCTCAACCTGTGAATGCTTGTTGAATTCTGGGAAGGGAGGAGATATGATCAACCACACCACACAGATAATAATTTGAATGAAGGAGCAGAGGACAATGGCTGATCTCTCTAGACCTTTTCCTAACCACTTCCTCATTGTGTTTCCTGGCTTGGTGGCCAGAAAGGCTAGGACTACTGTGATAGTTTTGGCCAAGACACAGGAAATTGAGATTGAGAAAACGATACTAAAGACTGTTTGCCTGAGAATGCAAGTCACTTTCCCAGGCCATCCAATGAACAAAAAGGAACAGAGAAAGCAAAGGAGAAGAGAAGAAACAAGGACACATGTGATGTTCCTATTGTTAGCTTTGACAATAGGGCTTTCCCAGTGAAGAAAGAACGTCAATGCCACCAAAATGAGTGTTGCTGAAAAAAGAAGAATCAAGGAAGTCAGAATGACTCCTAGGGGTTCACTGAAAGATAAATAGCTGAATGTTTTGGGAAGGCACTGATCTCTTTCTGCATTGGCATACTGATCTTCTGGGCATCTCTCACATTGGTCTGCATCTGAAATACATGAAGAAGACCTTGATATTTCAAAATAAAATGAAAACATAGAGCTAACATACAGAATCTAATCTAATGTAGAGAAATTACGCTAATGTAAAGAGCTAACGTAGAGAAAGCACACTTGGTAGGACAATTCACATAACCAATTCCACTTACAAGTAGAATTATGACCACAATTTGGACCCAAATTTCAATTACTAAACAAGGGAGTAATTAAGTTTGTCAAGCCTGATATTACGACCTTTTCCTCTCATGGTTGTTAAGCAAGTCTCTGCAGTTGTTATATTAATCTGGTATTTAAGAGAATCTGGCTTCCCCCATTAATTTGTCAGCTGGCTGGGAAGATTACAAATGGCAAACAAATGATCCTGGAAGCTGCAACCATTGTGATTTTGTGCTGTTTTCCAAATGTCCAAATTTTGATCATGTGGCCATGGGGATGCTCTGAGTCCAAAAAGTGACTTTTTCAGTGTTTGGTTTTAACTTTGAATGGTTGCTGAATGGATGGTGGTGACTCAAGAACTATCAGTATACAACAATGGTTTTATTTTATCCAAAGTAGAAAATTTCCACACTATTTGAAGTCTATCTTTTACTTTCTCTTCTCTAAAAACACTGCATATCTCAGCATAGCAAAGGATATTATAACATAAAAAATGTATCTAAATTATCTCCTTTAAAAATTATGAAAAGTTACTCTAGTGTATCACTACTCTATTTCAGTATTAGTTGGAATTAGTCATTCATTGTAAAAGATTCAGAAAGAATAATATATGTATATAAGCTTGAAAACTTCTGAATTTCTGCATTTATAATTCTACTTTTAACTTGCCAGTTTGGACTGAAATTCTTCCTTCAGGACATTTTCTGCAATTGTAGCAACAAGATTGTTTCCCCTCCTGAACAACCCTGCTGTATCCCCAGGGACAGCTCTCCACACATCTGGCACTAGGAGGTACCTAGAAATAACCATCAGGAAGGTTTATGAGTAGAATTCACCAACTACTTCTTCAAACACCCCACTTTATATGGAGATAAGGAAGTTAGGAAGGGGAACTAGTTATAAATTCAGGGGGAGTGCAAACATCTTCTGAGGTCAGGATGTCTCAGGAGCATCATAATTGTGGACAGTATTCATGTTTCCTGGAAAATATCCCATCTTCTGAGGTGGGCTTTTAATTTTGAGTTTTCATCAAAACATGTATATGCTTATTTGTTGTTGTACATCCACAAAAGTAAATACTATTCTGCTGATTGAGATCTATCACCAATCTATAAAAGAATGGGGAAAAGAATTTTTAAAAGCAAAAAATAATAATTAAATCCTATACAAAAACAGAGGAACCTATATTTACTTGTAGCTTGCTGTCTGTGGCAGAAATGAAGGAAGATGTTTTCCATTTCTTTAGCATGGAATACACACGTGGCTTGTTTGCATCCTATATTTGCAGCAATTTCTCTAAAAATGATACCATGGGAGCATCTCCACCAATAACAACCCTTTTTCTTTTCAAAAAGTAACTCTGTTACTCTTTTTGTCTATTTATAGTTTCACATCCAGAGCCAGGCCTAAGATAAAGTTTAAATGAACAAAAATACTATTGTTTTTTTTTTTAAAAAAAATGAGAAAATGATGAAAGATTTTACTTTCTAACTTTGTGTAAAACAGGTAGAAGTTCGGTTTAGATAATTATCATATTGTTTCATCCAGTATTAGAACATTTAAAAATTGAGTTTTTTCACAGGAATAGAGAAAAATATCCTACTCATATTTATTCTGCACGTAATACATTTTAATAGATTTTAAATATAAATATTACAGTTGCATCCAGAATATCATCACTGTCCCTCACTTTTGTAGTGTCCATAGTAGTCATCAAACAAAAATCTCTTCCTCCCAACATTATAGTTACTTAACTAAAGGTAAAGATAAAGGTTTACTATGTCCAGTCATGTCCGACTCAAGGGGACAGTTTTCATCTCCATTTCTTAGCTGAGGAAACCAGTGTTGCCTGAAGATAATTCCATGGTCATGTTGCCAGCTTAACTATATGATGAGGCACACGGAAGTTATTTTCCCACTGAAGTGATACCTGTTTAGCTACTCACATTTGCACACATTCAAACTGCTAGGTCGGGAGGAGCTGGGACATGTAATGGGAGCTCACCCATTAAAGCAGCATTCAGATCTTAAACCCAGGCTGTCAGCTTTCCAGCTGACAAGCTCGGTATCTTTAACCAATGAGTCATTGCTTAACTAGACTACCTCAAAAAAATCCTACCTGCAGTAATTTGTGATTCCATACAATGGCACTTTCATTGAGGGTGAACATTTTCCCATCAGGAGCTTTAGAGTCCATCCTTCCAACATGGACTCTCTGGAAAGATCTATTTTGAAAGACAACCAAGTTGAAGATGTCGTACCCTGGGTCAAAATCCCCCTTCTCATCAAAAAAGATTTCTTCTCCCGCACTGTTATTAAAATGAGTGTTTCTCAAAAAGTAGTGAAGCTGGTTTGAAGGGAGAGGAAAAGATCAAAACAGAATTACCTCAGTATTCCCCCAAATTTGGCATATTCACAATCCCTGAGTTTCTATAGTGAAGCTTATCACATTTGTAACTGGCGTCCATTCTGCTATGATTCAGACATCTCGTCAACCCATATAACAAAACTCAGTTTCGATTTCAGAAATCAAACCTGAGATTTTTCTTACATTTACCTTGAATGTTTTAATAAATAAATTAATATTCTTTGTATAAAATAGAGTACTCACATAATAAGCCTTTTCCCCACCTGTTACATAAATAAAAAATAGGAGGAAAGAGGCCATCCCACATAAATAGGGGAGGGTATCTATAACAAATGATGGGAAGTAAACAAAAGCACAGGTGAGTGCAGTACTGTGTATTTCTTGTTCTTGAATCACAGCTTTGCAGAATTTTATTTCAGTCTGAGTCCATAACTTCAATAAATATTACTAAAATTCTTGGATATCTTGAAAACTTAGTTTAGTCTTTCCAATTCTACATATCCATCTATCAGGTCTGTTTTGGTCCATATAATGCATCCATGGAGTTGCAGTGCAAATTGATTCCCCAAATTGGAAGGGGAAATTTTGTAAATTAAGGGAAAAGCACAGACCTGTTGAGATTAACTTCTATTCATTTCAGAATAATGATTTTTTTAAGAGTAAAGAAACAGCTTCTTACTGCCTCATCTAATTTTTTTAAAAATTCCCAGTCTAATGAAGAGCAAATGCTTGTGGTTCATGATCTGTCCTACTTGTATATTCTGGGTCCAACCCTGATTGATTTCTGAGCCCAGATAGGCATGACCAAGTGGTGATATTGCTAAGACTATGTAATTTACAATAGGAAAATTTTCACTCTCAGAAAGGGGAAAATGACTCAAATCATTCAAATTTCATATCACCTCCATCAGACCATCACTGCCAAAACCCATGATCCTTTTCATAACTTACCAGTACAGATATTGAAGCATAATATTTTACATTGTGATGCTTCAGTGTTTGTAAACACATTTGAATTTTCATTATTTCTGCAAAAATATGACTTAAAGCACAAATTGTTCTCTATGAAGGCCTTAAACTACTGTAAATGAAGAGAACACAAATAAAAAAAATGAATGAAAAACAATACCCTTGTTGTTATTGTTTTAAAAAAAGAATGATTGAGGAAGGTTATACAAAGATAGTATTTGTGCATGTGGGAAAAGTGTCTACGCCTCTAGGATTTATTTGAAGAAAAAATTAGAGTCAGATGATCATTTGTGAATGTGGGAGGTCCAGCCTAATATCTTCACAACAGGAGTATAGGGAAATAAATCATTGTTAGCACAAAGGAGATATGTAAATCCCCTTAGTTGCTGATGTTCACAAGATTGGGAAAGTTTACAAAACTATTTCCAAAGTTATTGAATTTCACTTGTCCACTGTCAGGCAGATCTTGTACAAGTGGAGGTAACTCAATCCTATTGTTGTCCTCCCCAAACAATCAAGAAAGCACCAAGTGAAAGGCATATAATACTCTGAGAAGAAAACTGAAGAATTGGGTGAATGGCAAGGTTTCAAGGAGTAAGCCGCTAGTACCTAGGAAAAGCACTGATACCAAATTACTGATTGCAAAAGACCACGTGGATAAGGCAGAAGTCTAACAGAAGAATTATCTGGGCAGTTCATGTAAGGAAGCCCACCACTATGCCACTCTTGATGCTGTTCTAAAAACACATATGAAATTCTGCAGAGAATATATCACTCTTTAGGTCATATCCATGCACAAATATCAATGATTTCAAATTTATAACATCACTGTACATATGAAAGATTATCGTATAAATGTACGGTAGGTATAAACAGTCTTACTGTAAGATCAGGGGGTATAATACGTTGTTTAGTAGAAAAAGATCCCATAATGAAGATTGTGGAAACAAGCTACATCAATTTTAGTGCTGTGCATTTAAATTTAAGAGAGATTTGATGGAAGTGTTTGCACAGGAACTGATAAAATTAATGAGCCATTTATGATACAACACTAAATGATACCGTAAATATCACCAGAAAAGAGCTCCTTCTGGAGCTGGTTTGAATTGAGACACAGCACAACCAAATGCATGAGTAACTGAATCGCAGAACAGTTAATTCCTTTCTGAAGAGGGCCAGACCCAGAGCCCACTGATTCACATTCCTTCCACTTCAAGCTACCTAAAAGTTTTTGGGAAGAGCAAAGGCATACCTGCCATGGCTGAAAATGCAAATCAGAATTTGCTCCATTCTGATTCCTCAATGAAGCTGCCTTTTCTCTTGAACGCATTGCTTGCAGAGCATGTGCTGCAGTATACACCGCATTGTAGATATTGTAACTCTCTCCAGACATGGTCATTTCAAACACAGAGCCAGGGACTCTGCCCAGGTCTTCCCTCCCAGTGCAGCGTTTCACTCCTTTGAAATATGCACGAAATGAACAGTCAAATATAGTCCACCAGAATCTATTCATGAGAGCAGATGAATTTACATATAGCTTTCTCCTCTCAAGAAACCCATGAAACCCTGGCACCATTTTTGTGTGCAGTGCAAAGTATAAGGAGCCATTGAAAGTTTCAGCTGGGAAACTCCCCGGTTTAAATATCATAACAGTGAAATCCCACTGAGAGGTCATGATCCACACTCTGTGATATATTTTCTTTTTCTTGGACCTTTCAGAAAGATACAGAATTATCTGTAAAGCCTCCATAGATTGGATGGTCCCAGAAGCAAGGAACACATCAATTTTCTTCACTAGCATAGTGTCTTGTATGTTGGATATATGTGAAGTAACTGTTCCTGCAGTAAAATCTCCACCTTTAAAAACTGGGATCAACTGCTTCCAAGCAATGCAAATATCATTCTGGAAGAGCTTTGGTTGGATATTTTGAAAAAAGGCTTCCCCACTCTCGTCCTCTGATGCTAAGAGGCCAATCCAGTTCCATCCAAAATGTTTCAGTAAATGAACAATCCCCTCATATTGTATATTTTCATTGGGAACCATGCTGAAGAAAGAAGGGAACTGCCTTTTATCACTCAGAACTGGGTCAAACTGACCAAAACCGAGCTGTTTGGAAGAAAGATGCAAAGAAAATTAAATGGAGAATCTTTTTGTGATCTTGAAGAACATAGAGTTTTTCCATTCTCCCTAGAATTTTGGATTCTAGTGCAACAGTATGGCTGAATTAGAAACACTCAAAATTTCCCATCAAGATTTCCATGGAAGAAGACCTTCTTTGACTACCATTGCTAAAGAAACGGAACTGTGCAAATTGGTCATACCTGTGGAAACTTATAGCTGTTCAAAATGTGGGCCATCTGGAGAGAGTTGGGAGAGTGGAGGCCTCCAATGATAGGCAAGAAGTCTGTCTTGTTCCTTCTAGCACAGTTGAAGTTGATAGGGCTCCCTTGGTCCAGAAACAGATGATCTAGAACATGCTTAGCGGCCTCTCTGACACTGAACCTGTTTTCATAAAATCTCAGGACTAGTGTAGTGTTGGGGAACTTCTTGATATTCCTGTTGATCTCGTGAACAGCAAAAGACATAGAAAACCGGTGCTGGAAGTTTTTGGGTATTAGGCTAAAATAAAAGTACATAAATACACATAACTATATCATCAAAAGAATTAATTCCAGCTGTAAGCTATGAGTATAATTTCAACAATTTGTGCAGAGGAAACTAATTTTGGATTTCAATGAAATAGACTATCTGCTTTGTACATTATCCTCAAAATCTCAACAGCCACTGTTATCTGAGCAAAAGAATAGGAACATCGATCTCAGTTCTTTGAACTCTACCAGTTATAAAGCTTTATTACAGTCTTGACACATGTGAAAAGCAGTTGCTTTTTCACCCTGGATTACAAGGTTGGATCAGATTTACTGTTTTTTAAAAAATATTTATTAAAATAAATTAATTTCTCTTAATCATTTCATTAGTAGCAATTTTATTAATTAGGTAGAAACTATTCAAATCTTTTAGGAGGAGATTTTTCAGCAAGGCATAGACCTCTAGGCAAAGGGTTTGGAGAGGAAAGTTGAAAGTCCTTTTCGGACAGATACAAAAATGCTCTACAAGCTTAGTAACGTCATCTATTAAAAGAGCCTGAGGTTTTGGTTTTTTTAATATTTTATTGAATACAAAGGAAAGAAAAAAATTAAAAAACATTGAACGTGGTGTATCATCTTTGACATACATCTTTGTCTAATCATTCCATACTTTACATATAAGAATAAATATTACATATACAGCTGTACATATCAAGTCCCCTATTTATATCCCTTCTATTGACTTCCTTCTTATTTCCCTCCACTTGTAAAATTTATTCTAAATTCAGTAATATTCTGTTTCCTCCTGGTTTTTTAATTCCTTAGTCATCTTATCCAATTCAGCACAATGTAAGATTTTCCTTATTAGCGCATTTCTGCTAGGCACTTCAATTGCTTTCCAGTTTTGGGCAAACAAGATCCTTCCGCCATTATTGCATGTATAAATAAATATATATCAACTTTGTTTATATTTTTTTCTAATATTCCTAATAAAAACATCTCTGGTTTATATTGAATTTTTTGACCCACCATTTCTATTATCCATCTCCAGACCCTAAGCCAATAAACCTGTACAAACCCACCAAACGTGAAAGAATGTACCCTTTTCATGTTTACACTTCCAACAAATTGGTGAGTAACCACTATACATTTTTGCAAGTCTGGCCAGTGGCAGTTGCCATCTATAAAGCATCTTATAAAGATTTTCTTTATAAGATGACACCAATGTAATTTTATTGTTACGTTCCCAAGTTTGCTGCCATTGGTCCAGATTTATAGCGTGTCCCAAATCTATTGCCCAGGTTTCTTTGACTTGTTCCTCATATAATTTATATTCTAACATGTATTTATATATATTTTTAATTTGTTTTCTCTCCGAGCCTAGTAATATTTTATCAAGCCCCGTATCTCGTCTATTAATTCCTGAGTTTGTTTTTGAAAGCCTAAGAACACCAGCATATAAACTTCATCAGTTAAAACTAGGTGGATCTATTTTATTCTTGGGCAGTAAATTACGTGATCAGATATAAAATTTCAGTTTTTAGATTGCAATTTGCAGTTTCTTTCCTTCATTCTTGTGGAAATGAATGAGATGAATCAGCTCTCTAGTTCTTTCTAGAACTGCTATAAACGTTACTTTGTAACTACACACTTCAATCAATAATTTGATTATTGTAATTTGTGATAATGAACAATTTATGGAGGATGATATGAGAAATTGGAATTTCATTCCCTTTTAAATTCAGCTCCTAAATATGTTACTAGAAAGAGTTGTAATTGCCCGAATTTCAGTTTGTGAATCCTAAATAGATTGGTGTTATAAATGTGCCAAGTACTGGCTATGTTGAAAAAGATTTAGAATTAAAAGACTACATTATTCATGAATCCAGTGGTACTTCCATTCTTGAGGTGAAGGGAAGAAAAGTCTTGGACTATTTTTTTTTCAAAATTCAATTTTTGAGAGTGTATGTTAAAATGCATCTTCATAATTCTAGACCTCTAAGATGGTCATTTATAATATGCACACTTTATGTTTTCCTAAGGGCCACCTTTCAGTTGAAGTCATGCTCAAAATGCCAAAGAGTGACAGCCAAGGGAGCAGTGGTACTTTTGATGCAAAATTATGCTCTTTCCTACAGTCTATCACCTGCTTCTGACATTGTATTGCACTTTATTCAAAGATGAAAGGAGTACTTACTGTCTACTTCTGGTAGAGTATGGCTCTTTGGTTAAACTCTCTATGATTTCATCTGTATACATAAGGGAAATAAATCCTCCCAGTATCATTTGTGACCTGGAGGTGCTAATCTTGCTTTGAACTTTGGAAGGCTGGATGCAGATGGATTTCAAACTCTCATTGACACAGTGAGGAAGGCAGAAGACGAGCAGAATAATTTTAAACCACAGCAGTCTTGAACTACCATCCCATCTGTTCAAGTATAGAGTGAAAAACATGTAGTCGTCACCTCTGCAAGGAACTTTTGCCTTGATAGACCTAATGGGAAATATCCACTGAATATGGGAATGGGAGGAAAATTAGTTTTTTTAAAAAAAGATAAATGTAAAACTTTGTATTATAAAACGTGAGATGTTTCTCTGATTTAGCTATCATCTGAGATTTGGTGGGGAAAAGGCAAATCTTTATACAGGAGCATTACTGCAAAAGAAACAGAAGTGGAATACAGTCATTTTGCTAATTAACAGGCTCTTCCTCCAAGTCTACTAGTCCCTGGTGATTTATAGAAATTTTGTTTTTGTGACATCTGTACATATCTAGTTTAAGAGTTACAGTATAGTTGGTGTCACATTGTCAAAGCAAGAATATACAGTATTTGCAGCATTGACACAGCAATTCTAACTTACTTTTTCTTGCCTTGCAACTGTATCTAATCTTACCTTGTCCCTATGTACAGAAAAAGTTTCAGAATTTTTTGCTCTTCAATATTAGGTTATCTACACTGAAATATTTTAACACACACCACACACACCCATGGTGATTCCAACTAGTTAGCCATTTCTTAGTGTCCACCCAGTTTTGGGTTCTACCAAGAGTGCTGTGAATGTTGTTGTTGTTTTTTTGGTCTCTTCTGATTTCATTTCTTTTACTTCTTTTTTTTGGGGGGGGTTATCCTCACATTTTTATCATGATTCTTGTTTTTTTTCCATCTTCACTGATGTCAAATGCTATAGATATATTATCAGGATTCCTGTTTCATCTCCATTTGGGTACTGGAGAATATCAGCCCAAGAATTGGGGGACTCAATGTCATGGCTGCCTTTCTGCTTGCTTCGCTTCACAACCTGCCAGCCTGACATTGGCAATGGGGGAGGGAGGAAGAATTAAAATGCAGGAGGAAGAAAGTGGGGGTCTGGGATCCCACTGTGCAAGAAAGGAGGCATTGCTCCAACTCAAGGCCATTGAAAGAGTACAAAGATGGAGAAAGTGCAAAACAAATTTAGCATTTCCAATTGGACACTGACTAATAGTAGGGTGGTGGCCAGAGGAAAAAAAGAATTTAAGTGTAAAGTTTTTGTGCCAATTCGCCAGATACCACTTCTCTTTGTCTGTAACCATTTATTGCTCTAGTAAAGTATGCTCCTGGTGAAATATCAGACTAGGAGTCTTCTTTTGCTAGCTGCTTAGGTGGGATAGATGACACTCAACACTCTTCCCCAAAAATTCACTTAACTTTGACATGAAAGAAACAACATTAAGAAGAAGACCCTGACAAAGAAGAGGGGGTCAACCTATTCTCCAAAGCACCTAAAGGCAGGATAAGAATTAATGGATGGAAACTAATCAAGGAGAGAAGAACCTAAAACTAAGGAGAAATTTTCTGGCAGAACAATTAATCAGTGGGACGACTTGCCTCCAGTATTTGTGGGTGCTCCAACACTGGAGGTTTTTAAGAACAGATTGGACTACCATTTGTCAGGAATGTTATAAGGTTTCCTGCCTGAACAGGGGGTTGAACTAGAACACCTCCAAGGTCCCTCCCAACTCTGTTATTCTGTTACATTATTCTTTCAAACTAATATTTTATCTCCCAGGGGGGGGGGAGTTCTTTGCTCTGAATTTATATTGCAGGCATTATTGGGGAAAAGAATAGGGGAGATTAGGCAATTTCCCAAGCCAACGAAGATATAGGAAGATCGTATAAATCAAATTTACAGGAAAGGAAAGAGAGAGAGAGATTGTTGACAATGCTCATATACAGTGTACGTTGGTGTTCCCACAAATGACAAACTCAAAAGAAATCAACATAATTCTTTGTAGCTCTTCAAATAATTCACCCAGATATCAACTATTCCTAAACTATGAGTCTCATAAATTTCACCTGAATGAGATTCAGTGTTTGAGCCAAGAAGAAATAGAAACCCACATAATAAGCAGTTTTAGTTTCTGGAGGCAGTGGAAAAAATCTCTGATGTTATTGTTTTCCTGCAAATTGCTAGATTGATCTTACACATTGGAGAAGGGATTGTTTTCAAATCCTAAATTGAGACTGCAAATAAAGAATCTGTAGGAGGCTCATTTCATCCGGTGAATTTTTTATTTTCAAGGCATTTAATAGTTCAATTGTAAGCGGTTTGCTTGCATTTTTAAAGCTGATTTATTCTCCTTTTATGTGAAGTAAATTATCAGTCATGTTTCTATTTCAAAGGGATTCTGAGGACCCATTAATGAGATAAGGGATTTTTAAGAGTGTTATAAATGAAATCTGTCATTTGATCCTTTTTGGAGGGAGAAAATTTTTTAAAATGGCAAAAAATGGGAAAACAATATTTATTTTCAGAATTGTAATAGATATTGTCAAAACTCCATAAGCCAACATGCAACAAGGCAGACTAGTACAGAACTTGTGTTAGGTTATATCTAGGGAAGCATAACTCTTGATTTGGGGTTATGAGAAAATACAGACAGATTCAAAGATTCCAGCAAGGACTTTGGAGCAGAGGGAAAAGAAAATATTCATAATGTTTAACATCCTGCCTTGAAAGAAGGCCAGAGGATAAGTGTCATATGTTTAAGGAATCACAAAACAAAACTTTGGGCATGGGAGAATGGAGGTAGAAAATACAAATATGGCACATATTTGCCAAATCCAAAAAACTGAACACTTAAAGAACCCTTATTATGAAAATGTGTGCACAAAAAAACTATGGTCCATTAACTCGCTAGCAAAAATGACTCTAATAATTATTGTGTAACAAAATTTGTACAACTGAAAAATAATCACATATTGTAATGGCATTGTGGAAAGTCATTATATTTTGAGGAGTTGGTGACCTATTTTGATTTCCCCTTCATATTAGGAAAAAAAACATTGTTTGGAATCTGGTCACTGCCTGACAGTACAAAACATAATTAGAATCACAAAGCCCAACTTGAGTATTCAAGGGCCAGTAGCTAAAGAATAGAATAGAATAGAATAGAATAGAATAGAATAGAATAGAATAGAATAGAATGGAGTGGAGTGGAGTGGAGTGGAGTGGAGTGGAGTGGAGTGGAATGAAATGGAATGGAATGGAATGGAATGGAATGGAATAGAATAGAATAGAATAGAATAGAATAGAATAGAATAGAATAGAATAGAATAGGACCTTGGAGGTCTTCTAATCCAACCCCCTGCTCGAGCAGGAGAACCTATACCATCTTAGATAAGTGACTGTCTAGTCTCTTCTTAAAAACCTCCAGTGATGGAGCTCCCGCAATTTCTGAAGGCAAGCTGTTCCACTGATTAATTGTCCTCACTGTTAGGAAGTTTCTCCTTAATTTCAGGTTGCTTCTCTCTTTGGTCAGTTTCCAACCATTGTTTCTTGTCCTGCCCTTTGGTGCATTGGAGAAAATTTTGATGCCCTCTTCTTTGTGGTAGCCCCTCAAATACTAGAATACTGCTATCATGTCACCCCTGTTTCTTCTTTTCTTTAGACTAGCCAAACCCAAGTCCTGCAGCCGTTCTTCATATGTTTTAGTCTCCAGGCCTTTGATCATTTTAGTTGCTCTTCTTTGAACTTTTTCCAAGGCTTCAACATCCTTTTTGTAATGTGACGACCAAAATTGGTTGCAGTATTCCAGGAGTGGTCTCACTAGGACTTTATAAAGCAGTACTAATATTTCGTGTGATCTTGATCCTATGCCTCTATTTATACAACCCAGGATTGTATTAGCTTTTTTGGCTACTGCTGCACACTGCTGGCTCATAGTCAAGTGATTGTCCACTAGGACTCCAAGGTCCCTCTCATAGTTACTGTTTTTAAGCCAGGTCTCGCCCAATCTGTATTTGTACCTTTGATTTTTCCTACCTCAATGTAAAACTTTGCTTTTCTCCACATTGAAACTCATTTTGTTGGACAGGGCCCATTGTTCAAGTTTTTCTAGATCTTTTTGGATTCCGAATTTGTCTTTTAGGGTCTTTTGAAGTTTTAGACTCTGGTTGGATTATTTTCTATTGTTTGTATTTGCATTATATTGAATTTCAGCATGACGTGGTCACTTTCACTAAGGTTCTGGCAATTTCAACACCCTCTATCACTTCTTCTCAATTAGTAAGGATTGGTTCCTTCCTCCACCTTTTGGATGATAAAGTTATTGGCTAGATTGGTTAAGAATCTGTTTGATCTCCCACTCACTGCAGAGTTTGTCTCTCAGTTGATATCTGAATAGTTGAAGTCCTCCCATTACTACTGTGGTATGTTTCCTCAGTTGAACACAAATTGGTTTTATTTTTAGGTGACTTTTTTTGTTTATTTCTAAATCTCATACTACTGTTATCCCAGTGTTGAAGAAAAAGAAAGAGGCCTTTAGTATAATAGCAGGATATTTTATTAACTGGTTCAAATCAGAATTGATGCATATAGATGAAAATGTGGTCCTTTATACAATAAGAAATATCAGTTCTGTATTTTTACCAAATCAATTAAATATCTAGGTAGGTATGTACCATACATACCAAAGAATATAATTCAGTAACATATAAATAAAATATGTTATATTTCATATACTATATATATCAAATTCTTCAGATATTGATAGATAGGATTCATTAAACCTCGCCCTTTTAGAACAACTATTGTATTAACACTTATATTTATTTCTCAATCAAAAAAATGTAGAAATAAATGTAATGGAATATGTACTTGAGTTTTAAGAAGGAAATCAATTAAATGGAACCTTATAGAAAGGTTGAATCACCAGAAGGGGAGGAGGGATTTGGGGAAAAATCATTATAGCAGTTGTGAATGAGGTATCAGATTTGGGAGAGTGATTTTGTCCATTGCACATACAAAACCAAAACAAACAAAGGAAAGGGATAGATTGCATGGTCAGTGCAATATTTCAGTAGGGATGCTTTTGAGTACGAGGTAAAGGCTGAATAATAGAATGTTCTGTTTAACCATTAAACTGTCCTTCTGGTCAGATGTTCTTTCATATTTAAATGTGGCTTCAAGAGAATGATGTAACACTTGGGGAAAAAGATGCAACCCTGTAAGCCAGCAGTAGAAGATAAGATGGAGAAGATCTCCACAGCCACCATGTATTTCCCCTTAGTGCTCAGATAAGCTGGGATGAAGGACACCCAAATGCTACAAAACACAAGCATACTGAAGGTGATCAGTTTGGCTTCATTGAAAGTATCTGGCAATTTTCGGGCAAAGAAAGCCACAGTGAAACTGATGGTGGCCAGCAGCCCCAAGTAGCCCAGGACAATGTAGAACATGGAATCTGAGCCTTCATTACATTGCACAATAATCTCATCAACCTGTGAATGCATGTCCTGTTCTGGGAAAGGAGGAGACATAATTAACCATACCACACAAATAATTGCTTGAATACATGCACATATGACAATGATGGATCCTGCCAGTCTTTTTCCTAGCCATTTCCTCATCTGGTTTCCTGGCTTAGTGGCCAAAAAGGCCATAACAACTGTAATGGTTTTAGCTAAGACACAGGAAATTGAGATGGAGAAAATCAGGCCAAACAAAGTTTGTCTGAAAAAGCAAGTCATCTCCCGAGGCCAGCCAATAAATAGCAGGGGGCACAAAAAACAAAGCAGGAGACAGAAAAGAAAAATGCATGTGATGTTCCTGTTGTTTGCTTTGACAATGGGGCTTTCCCAGTGCAGAATAAAAGTCACTGCCACTAATATGAGGGTAGCTGAAAAAACAAAAATCAAGAAAGTCAGAACAACTCCCAAGGGTTCACTGTAGGATAAATAGCTGAAACTTTTGGGAAGGCACTGGACATTTTCTGCATTAGAATATCGATCTTCTGGGCATCTCTCACATTGGTCTGCATCTGAAATACACGAAGAAGAACTTGTCATTTCCAAACAGACAGCAGTTTATATAGAGCTAACAGAGAAATAGCTCCTGATGATGCCATTCACATTCACCATCACACATAAAAATAATTTTTTTTAACATTTAAGCAAGAATTCTGGGTTACTATTTATGTGAATGAATTCCACTCAATTTCAATATTAGCAGACAAAATCTTAAAAGATGCAATTCTCAACCCTGCAAAGGAGATAAGAATAGAATGAATTTACGCAATTATTTAAAATATCCCTCTTTTTAAAAAATGCTACTGTGGTTAGTCACAGTCCCATTCAACTGCATACCACATGGAGGTTGGGGGAAAAATGAAGAAAAAGATAAGTTTGCAAGTTTCCAACTCTCAGCTAATTTTATTTCTTTACTTGCCCATTTCAACTGAAATTCTTCCTTCAGGGCATTTTGTGCAACTGTAGCAACATACATATTTTCCATCCTGAACAACCCTTCTGTACCCCGGGAAGCAACTCTCCACACATCTGGCATGGGGAGGTACCTGAAAAGAAACATCAAGAAGTGGAATTCATTCAGAATGTCTACCAATTTCCCACTTTAGTCAGAAAAATTAGTACATTCAGACAGTATGCAGAATCTTTTGGTGTCAAGGTGTCCCAAGAACATAATCTATCTGCGCATGCGTGTGATGGTGGACCTACCGGCTCCGGCTCCGTAGCGGCGGTGATCCGTCGGCGGAGATGGGGGTGTCAAAGAAGGTCCGGGGGTGCTCGCCGGCCAGGAATGAGTGAGAGGAGAGGGTCGGCGAGTGAAGAGGACGGGTGCCGGACCGCAGGACCGCCAGGTTTGGCTGGGCGGGGCGGCGAACGAAGCTGCGATGCCGCGGAGGGCGGCCCAGGCGCGGAGGGGCCTAGCGAGGCCTGGTGAAGCCTGGCGGCCTAGCGGCCGGGGAGAACTGAGGCCTAGCGGGGCCTGGTGAAGCCTGGGGCCTAGCGGCCAAGAAGAGCTGCGGCCCGTTGCAGCGGCCCGGCGCAGCGATGGCTTGGCGATCGGAGGTGGGCGGAGCTACGGGACTGCGGAGGGTGGCCCAGGTGCGGAGAGGCCTAGCAAGGCCTAGTGAAGCCCGGCCTGGGGGCCTGGTGGCCAGGAAGAACTGCGGCCCGACGCGGCGGCCTGATGCGGCGGTGACTCGACGGCCTGCGGAGGGCGGAGCTACGGAGGGCGGCCCAGACATGGAGTGGCCTAGTGAGGCCTAGTGAAGCCCGGCCTGGGGGCCTAATGGCCAGGAAGAT